ATTTCTGTTTTAGATAGGGAGAGGAAGGGGAGGAAGAAAAAGGAACTTTCTAGAAAATTCGCTCAATGGCTTTCACTAATATGTCACTGACCTATTAGCAATGGAGGCTGAGAAATGTTTTTTAGCTGGGCACAATGTTGCCTCAATATTATAAAAGTTCTGTTAGTTCAACAATGAGAAGACAAAACCCAATTTAAAAAAAAGGCAAAAAGTCTAAATAGATAGTTCTCCAAAGAAGATACACAAATGGCCAATAAACACGTAAAAAGATACTCAACATCTTTAGCCATCAGGAAAAAAGGAAATCAAAACCTTGATAAATACCACTTCACATCCACTAGATGGCTACACAGATAATAACAAATGTTAGCCAGAATGTGGAGAAAGAATCCTCAGACACTGCTGGTAGAAACGTAAAATGGTGCAGACACGCTGGAAAACAATTTGGTAATTTCCCAAAAGATTAAATATACAGTTACCATATGACCCAGCAATTCCACTCCTTACAATTCCACTTGCAAGGAAAAATTGCCAATAAACTAAGCTGAAATGTCCGAGGTAAGTTTTATTCATAATAGATTTTCAAATGAAAATAATTTCCTATGGGGTTTTGCATATAGTATTTCAGGCTCCTAGCAAAATGCCTGGTACATAGTAAGTGCTCAATGTGTATAGTTAAATAAATGAACGGATATTTAGATACTGTAAATATTTTAGAATAAAATTTCCATAGTCTTCATTATAGCAAAGAATTCAATGTTTTGATACTAAAAGTGTTATTTTTGTATTGATACTAACTGCTTATGTAATCAAAATAAATGAAAACATATGGTTACACAAAAATTTGTACAAAAATGTTCATAACAGCGTTATTCATAATAGCCGAAGAATGAAAACAACCCAAATGTCCATGAAGTGATACATAAAATGTAATATAAACCATAAAATGGAATATTGCTCAGCAATTAAAAGAGATGAAGTACTGACATGTGCTATAACACACATGAAACTTGAAAACATAATGCTAAGTGAAAGAAACCAGCCACAAAGGAGCACATGTTGTATGACTTCATTTATATAAAAGTGCAAAATAGGCAAATCTATAGAAACAGAGAGGAGATTAGTGGTTGTCAGGGGTGTGGGTGGATAGGAGAATTGGGAGGTAATGGATCAGCGGTAGAGGATTTCTTTTTGGGGTAATGAAAGAGTTCTAAAATAGATTATGGTGATGGTTGCACAACTCCAAATATATTAAAAGCCATTGAATTGTACATTTTAAATGGCTGAATTTTATACTGTGTGAATTATGTTATAAAGGTGTTTAAAAACAGTTCTGTTAGGGAGAAGGGAAAAATGAATATTAGGTAGGCACTGGTGGTTTCTGCCACAGTTAATATCTAAAGAGCTCTTATGAATCAATTTAAAAAATTAATGACTTAGCAGACACATCCAATAGGATATGAATAGGCATTTTGTTAAATACAAACAAATACACATAAAGAGAACAACCTCACCGATAATCAAAAATGCCAGTTAAAATAATAACATATCTATTTTTCAACCTATTATAATTGGGAAAGTTAAGTATATATATACCCTTTGAACCAAAAATTGCCCTTTCTAAGATTGTATCCCACAGAGCCATGTTACTCAGAGTGTGGTACATAGACAAGCAGCATTGGCATCACTTGTGGGGTCAGAATCTATGTTTTAATGTACATTTTAATTGCCTGATCCTATTCACATTAAAATTTGAGAAGTACTACTATAGAATACTCATGCAGAAGAGTAAGGATATATCTATGAGGATTTTTATTGCAGCGTTGTTTATAATGCGGACAATTTTTTAAGTTAATATCCATCAATAGGGAAGTTTAAAGGTTACCATATAGCCATATAATAGAAGACTAGACAACTATCAAAAAAGAGGTAGATTTATGCTTAGTGATATGAAAGATGTCCAAGACATATTACTAAATCGATGCAGGAAAGGGCACATTTCCTCCGAGTTGGTGGAGGCAGACCAAGCCCTGCACCAAGAGGAGAAGAGAGTCCTTTGGCAGAGAGTATAGAAAGGAATCAACACATGCGCCAAAGTTAGAGTCCAAAGGAAAACTTATTAGAAAAGGGGTAACACCCACAGAGTGTGGTCACCTCTCAGAGGCAGAGAGAGAGAGGGACAGTGAGAGGGACCCTGAGTATTCAGGGAATTCAGTTTATACATCATTCTTTAGTTCCCATTTCCTTTGATATGCGCATGTAGTGAGGAAGGGGAAGGGGAAGAGTATGTAGCCTGAAAGGCCTGCTGGCGGTTCCCAGCCTTTAATCCATAGGTTCCCCATGGTTTTAGACATAGGGAATGAACGATTTATTTGTGTAGGGCAGACACTTAAAGACTCTATTGTTCCGGTTTCCCCTTCTACAGGTGCGGGAAATGGTTTGCTAACAATCCCAGTAGAAATCTTCCTTTGTTCTGAAGGTGTCCTTCTGGCCAGGCAGCAGGGCTGATCAGCATGTCGCAGTCTCTGAATGTAGCTTGATTAACATTTTTAATTCTCTTGCCTTCTCCCTACATTAAAATGACAATAATCCAGTTGATGAACAGTATGTATGACTGATGCCACTTTTATTTTTTTAAAAATCTATATCTTTATTAATAAATGAGAGTGGTGCTGAGGGAGATCATGGACTTTTATGTTCCTCTTATACACTTCTCTATAATTTGCATTATTATTTTAATTACCTATTACTTTTATAATTGAAGGAGATTTTATCTAGACCAGCCACTGGGGCATGGATGTCATCAAGGAGGATGATGGAGTGTCTAGCTCTCCTTACACAGTGCGGATTCAGTCTTTGTCAATGGAACACAAAATAACACCTTGATGGCTCCTAATAGCTTTCGGGATAAGTCAGGATTTCTTACTATGCTGCAGCTCTGCTGCTCCTGCCTCATCCCTCTAACTGCACCTACTGTTAAGGCCAACAGAACTACCTGTTTTCCTTGCACAGGCATTGAGCTCTTTCTCCTCCAGGTCTTACCAAAAGTGTTTCCTCTGTCTAGACGCTCTGCCCTGAATATATGGTATTATGTATACACATGCACTATAAAATTATCCCCTGACACTCAGTAAAAGCTCTGTAAGTATTGGATATCATTATTATAACATCTGTCTCATTATATTGAATTACTGGTTTATTTAACTCTGTCACTAGATTGTAAGCCCCCTGAAGACAGGGATGGTGTTTTATTGTCCTTGAGTGCCCATCAGGCACAGCCTACCGGAGTTACTGCTTAACAAAAGTATGCTAAATGATACCTCCCTAATCCTTATGTCACATTTTTTTTTCTTCCCACCTACTGTGTCTTCCTCTTTCTTCTGAGCCCAGGAAAATCACATCCTTTCCCTTTGACTCCATCACACCACGTGGATTATTCCCTTCTCCACACTCCAATAATACAATAACTTTCATTTGCATAGCACTCCTAACCCTTCAGAGTGCTTTCATATTTAATCTTTCCTATTCCTTACAACAACCCCAGTACTGAGAAACCAGACAAAGGGTAGGGAGGGGCAGGGAGATGTTTCCTGAGGGTCAACTAAATGCAAGGCAATTTACAATGTCTCTTTTAACCTTCTAACAATCCTTGGAGGTGGATATTTTTATCTCCATTTCACGAATGTTAAAACTAAACTTCTGTAAAATCACAAAACCTGCTGAGGAACACACAGCTATTAAGTGGGAGAGTCAGATTTGAACCTGAAGTCTCTGACTTTAAAACCCCTGCTAGTTTCATAACACCAAGTGAACAGATTTGTCTATTACCTATGTTACCCAAGCTACACAAAGCAAGAGGATTGATTTCCTGATTTCCCTCCAGCCCACCACATCTTCCACTGGACCACTTTGCCTGTTATATAAAGTCTGTAATGCATGATTTAACAATTAATCACGTGATATCTTACCTTGTTGCCTAATTGTTTTATTTATATTAGATTCTACAAGATTGGTAATCTCCCCCTTTCCCCAGGCAGGAATTGTGTCATTAACTTCCCTGAGTCTGAGTTTCCTCTTCTTTCACATGTCTGTCTCACAGGACTTGTGTGGAGATTAAATACTACTTGTAAAGGCATCTCACATAATGTTCAGCCCAAACTCTCCAAAAACATTTGTTGCATTTGAACTTCTCTCTCTTCATGTCCTTCAACAAGTCACAAAGGCCTGAGTGCCTGGGTTTGGCTGTATCAGTTCTTGTTGATTATTCATATAACAACGTTGGGTGAGGAGTATTTTAGTGGGCACATATTGGATTTTCTTCCCAAAAGGTTTGCATCAAATCAGTCCAAAACATGAGGAGTGAAACGCTCCCAAGCTGAGTTTAGCCGTCTGTACAGCGGTTTAGCATAGATTAGATTTATTCTCAATCCCTGGCAATTGGTATAGTTAAGCCTATTTTACAGATGAGAAAGTGAAATCTTAAATTGCTACTAAAGTGCAGATCTGTCAAGACTCCAACTCAGATCTTAAAATACCTTGGGCCTGGACTTCCACTTCAAAGCTCTACCTGAAAATAACAAATGGGCAGGACCTATGCAACGGGGAGGATGGGGGGAGGGGGCGGTAACCAGACCACTTACTTTGGCATTTTTGCTCGTCTTCCTAGCCTTTTGCTTCAGGGGTTGAGTGTCTCTTGAATTCACAATACTTTGTATTAAGGATGTCCCGTCCCTTTAAGGTCTCAGGTGACGTAATGGACAGCCCTGCCTCCTCTTCCTCTCTGGCGTATATTTCTAAGCCCCGCCCACTGTTTTATTCCATCGGCCAATTAACGCCCCTCATCCGGGTTTCTGGTATTGAGAAAGTGGATTTGTAACCTGTCGACTACTGATGCAGTCCAGTTAGCCCACAGCTCTTCTCTTAACGGTTGTCAACTGCAAAGTAAAGTGCCCCGCCTCCTGTTGCCATAACAACAGTACACAACGCCTCCTTCCCTCTTGCCCCTCTTCCAAAACAATCCTTCCCTCTCCGTGCTAAGACCCTCTTCGGAATCGCTTCTTGTTGAGCAGAACTAGAGTTCTCGCCCCTTTGCGAAGGAGAATTAGGTAGGAGGATTAGAGACTGAGTCAGGCTGGTGTTCCAGAAGGGACAGGAAAATGGGGCTCAGCTAGGTGGGTGAGTTAGAAGAAATAAGCAGGGGTTAGGGATGAAAAGGAGAGGGGAGGGAAGGGGTCGGTAAGGAAGATTGGAGAAGGACGAGGACATAGCTTAAGGTGGAGGTGGGAAGAACTGCGGAGACGGGTATCCAGAAGGCAGGGAGATGGAGCTGCTGGAGGAGAGTGGGAGCCACTGTGAAGGGCAGGAAAGGTCTCAGGGATCTGGGAAGGCATCCTGAAAAGAGAGGGGTTCTTGGTGGGAAGTATGAAGTGGAGGTTGAGAGTCAAAATGAGATGTCACAGGGATGAGGAAAGAAGTATAGTCGGGAAGAGATCCGGATAGTGAGAGGGGTAGTACTCCATCATTGAAGGTAAGGAAGTTGAGGGTTGGTAGATGCTGAAGAGACCCTTCTTTCTCAGGACGAGGACTCAGTCTGATCTGACTTCAGAGCCTTCAGCAAGAAAGAAAGATGTCAGATGAAGATGATCTGGAAGATTTTGAGCCAGACCAGGATGATCTGGAAAAGGAAGATGATGAGAAGGAGACGGAAGAGGGGGAGGATGACAGGAAAGAGATGGAAGACTTCTCTGAGGAAGTGAGAGCTTGGAAATGAAGGGAGGAGTCCTAGGGCTAAGGGGTAGGGTGGGACTCGAAAGAGATGCCTAATACCACTTCCTCCTACAGTGGATGCCCAATCCCCTGACGGAGGACATGATGAAGGAAGGGCTTTCTTTGCTCTGTAAGACAGGCAGTGGATTAGCCCATGCTTATGTGAAGCTGGAGGTTAAAGAGAGGTGCGTTTATGGGGAGCCAGAAGAGTCCTGAGGTAGGGTCCAGTCTCCTTTCTCATCCTCATTCGTGGGCGTTTCGGCTGAGAGTTTGGGTCTCTCTCATCCTGGGCCAGAGGGGAGGAAAGGATAGAATTTACTTTTCAGGAGCCCTGCAACTCCCTGCATCAGAGTTGGCCTGGGGATTAAAGGCTGTGAGGGTGAGTTGGAGGGATACCTGCTGGACTCTCTTACTCATCCTTCAGAGTGTAAGATCTTGGCCCTACACAGACAGTAGGTCCTTGCCCACCATTAAGAACCCACCTATCTTCTCTTACCTCTCCTCGCCCCTCCCATCTGTCACCCATTCTTCTCCCCATCATAAGCCATCTCCATGTTGCCCTCTGCTTTAGCACCTTTGCCAGTCCTTGCTAGATTCTTAACCTTAACCATGGCCTCTGCCATTTCCTAGAGATCTGACAGACATCTACTTGCTGCGTTCCTACATCCATCTGCGCTATGTGGACGTTTCTGAGAACCACCTGACAGACTTGTCCCCACTCAATTACCTCACCCACCTGCTCTGGCTCAAGGCTGACAGCAACCGGCTGCGGAGTGCCCAGCTGAATGAACTGCCCTACCTGCAGATTGCCAATTTTGCCTATAACCAGATCACTGACACTGAGGGCATCTCTCATCCTCGTCTGGGCAGCCTGGATCTCAAAGGTGGGTTCTTAGGATGGGCTACACAAGCTTTTTTCCTTCCTAGCCTGGGGCCAATAGAAGTGGGCCATGTGGTCCTTAGCTATGCCACACAGCAATTTGCATTCATTCATTCATTCATTCATTCAGACACTCATTATGATTCATTATGGCAGTTCTGTGTGCTGGAGATATAGTGGTGAACAAAGAGTGTCCCTATTCTCATGTAGCTTACATTCTAGATGGGGAAGACATAATATTATAAGAATATAATAAAATTATTATAAGAATATAATAAAATCAGTAAGCAAATTTATACAGTGATTTAAAAGGAGATATGTGCTATGGAAGAGTAGATCAGGGTAAAAGGAATAGGGGGACACAGGTGGCAATTTCAAACAGGTTGGTTAGGACAAGCATCATTGAGAAGATGACATTTGAGCAAAGACTTGAGGGAGGACAGGTAGTTAGCCATGTGGATCACTGGGTGGTTGGACAAGTCCTTCAGGCCCTGGACTACCAGAGCACTTGCCCCAGGGCCCCAGAGGTGTTAAGTCTGGAACTGTCCTTCCTCATATCCACCTGGCATTAGAGGGAGAGGATGATACAGAGGCTGCCAAAATTCAGGCTCCATTGCTGAATATCTGGGGTGGCCCTTTGAGCTCCTGACACCCTCCTGCTCCTTAGGGAACAACATCCGCTTGGTGACAGGTCTGGACCCCCAAAAGCTGATCAGCCTGCACACACTGGAGCTTCGGGGGAACCAACTGGAAAGTACCCTTGGAATCAACCTTCCTAAGCTGAAGAACCTCTACCTGGTAGTTCATTGGGTCAGAGGGTGGTTCATGCAGGGAAGAGGGCACTATCCCAGCGGCCAGGATGCTTAGCTTTTAGTGCTCCTAACTTTATCATCATCATAATAATTCGTATCATTTATTGAGCCCTTACATGATGCCAGATGCTGTGGCAATGCAAAGTTAAAACAGACAAGGTGCTGATCGCTGAGAAGGGCTGATAATACATAATGTGGGTTAATACAGTTTGCTTTGATACATGTAGCAGAGTAATATGCCATAACTGAGGTACAGATATTAGGCTAAGAAGGTCACTTAAATGTTTAGTTATTTAGGCTCTTGAGTTGAATTCATTTTTCCGCTCTAGAGCAGTGGGGCTCTTAGACCTAGGGGTGGGTCAAAGCATTGCCTCCTTAATCAGTGGTGGTTTTGGTGGACTGAGCAGTCAGTAGGGGGTTACTGCTGACCTTTCTCTTAATTGGCAGCTTCTCCTTTGCTCTCTACACAGATCTCTACCCACCTCCACACCCCTCCTGCGCCCCTGCCACTTTGTCTCTTAGATTTCCTCTTTCGTTGCACCTCTTTCTGACTTGTCTTCCTTCTCTAACCCTTACCCCTCTCCCAATGAATCTACTGTATCCTGGGGTCTAGGCCCAGAACATGCTGAAGAAGGTGGAAGGCTTGGAGAACCTAAAGAATCTCACTACCTTGCATCTTCGAGATAACCACATTGAAACTCTGAGTGGCTTCTCCAAGGAAATGCAATCACTGCAATACCTCAACCTGAGGTATGCACCCTCTCCAGGCCCCTGACCAGGAGCAGCTTTTGACCATGTGTTCCCCACTGGCCCCAATCCCCAAATCCTAGCCCACTCCCAGATTCTCACCTCATCCTCTATCCTGATCCTCACTCCTCCTTTCCTTCTGCATTCAGTCGTAATTGCAACACTAAGATCTTCATATCCCGAAACTCCTGAATCCCCTTCCATTCAATCTATAGTTAATGAGAATGTGTTATGTGCCAGGCCTTTTGCTGTGTTTCAGGAACACCTAAAGGAATCAGTGATGGTCCCAGTTCTCAAAGAACTCAGTCTGGCTTCAACTCTCTTTTCTTGTCCCTATCCCATATAAGTTTCTACTTCCCTTCTTGGGGTCATTTCCTGGACCCCAATTCCCCTTCCCATTTCTTGCCTCTCTTCTCCTGAGCTCCACCTGTAGGGGTTGATCCCCTTACTGATGTGCTCAGATGTGAAGAGAGAATATTTGAAAGGAAATCTCTAGACAGGTGAGCAGTGGGGATCAGGGGGATTTTCTTTCAGTAACTCTTGTCTGATGGAGGATTTTATGCATGTTTAAGCAAAGATATAAGGAAACTGCCTTCTTAGTCAACAAGGCCAAATCCTCAATGGAATTGAGGCAATGGAAACAAAATCTCCGAGTAGGGAGAGGTGGTTGTACCTTGAACCTCAATTTCTGCCCTGACTCCTGAAGCCATCTCTTGCTAATTAGCTCTGCCACATTGGTTTGGTAGGGTAAAGAGGGTGCTGTTTTCCTGTTAATGGTCTAGACAGGGATAGTGGACTCTTCTTAGTGGCTATTCACTGGGGATATTTGGAAGTAAGTGTAGTAGAGACCCGTTATCTCAATGACTGGGAGGTGCCTCTGGGACCAAAGATACTAAACCTCTTGCAATGCACAGGACAGTCCAGCACAAAGTGCATGTAGTGCTCTCAGTGAGAAACACTGCATGAGATTTAGCACCTCCATTGAAAAAAGGCAGAAAAAAATTAAACTTGATTTCATAAAGGCTTGAGGAAAGAATATGAAAATAACACAGAGTATACTACAATGAGGCACATTAGGAGATGAAACTTGTTCTTCAGGCTGGGAGGCCCCATCCCATCCCTACTTCTAGGTTCCTTTTTGTGGGGGAACACCAGCATAGCACCCACCATGTTGAGCTTCGATCCCCATTTCTTCTCCAGTGGCCCAGGTCCTAGCTTCTAACCTCTGATTTGGTGTCATTGTCACAGAAGTCTGTCCCTGCAAGGGAGGTTTCCCTCCTGCTCCGCAACTACAAGACAGTATTGTGACCTAACTTTGCTATTCCAAAAGGATGAATACGACACATTACAGAATAGAGTATGGCACTTAGGGATTCCTTGAAGGGCAGAAGGAAGACAGAAGTAGGGTTGGACAGCATCTCTGCAGCAAATCTGGCAATGCTTGGCAGGCCAATCACAGAGGCAGTGTTTCTAGGGAAACTGGAGCCCATGGGAGATTCCCCGAAGGGCCCCTTTCCTGATAGTTGGCCTCCAAAGCTCATTATTTCCCTGCGAACCCCTCCTGGCTGCATCAACAGGGGCAACATGATAACCAACCTTCAGGAGCTTGCCAAGCTTAAGGACCTGCCCAAGCTTCGAGCCTTGGTGCTACTGGACAACCCGTGTACAGATGAGAGCAACTACCGCCAGGAGGCTCTGGTGCAGATGGCACAGCTGGAACGTCTGGACAAGGACTTCTACGAGGATGACGATCGGGCTGAGGCTGAGGAGATTCGTCAGAGGATAAAGGAGGAGCAGGAGCAGGAGGCTGAGCCTGAGCATGATTCGGAAGTGGATCAGCCATCCATCTAGCAGCAGTTTTAGCCTTTGAGGATAGTAAGGAAGCTGGCAGGGGGGAGGAAGAGGAGGCCAAGGGCCTGGCAGATGACAGATGGGGGGAGAGAGAAGTTGCTATAGGAGGAGGTGGGTGAGGAGGGGATAAGGTAAGGGAAACTTTGGAGAGACTAGGGTTAGGAGTCAAGGTGTGTCTCGGGGTGAGGAGAGAGGACCAGAAGGACCTAGGAGGAGCTGAGCAAAGGCTTAGGAGATACATCAGGAAGCCAGAAGAATAAGTGAAGAGAATTGGGGTGGCAGGCAGAGATATTGGTGTGGGCTGGGTAGCGACATCTAACCTAGGGTGAAGATCAACTGGAAGGGTCTCATCTGGGACATGGTGTTTGTAGGGAGTGGGGAGGTTGGTGGTGAATGCTGCTGGGCCTAAGAGAGAAGGCAAGAGAGGAAGATCCTGTGCTAAAGATCAGAAGCTAAAAATAACAGAACACAGGGATGGGGGAAGAAAGGAGGGCAGGGTGAGGCAGAAAGAGACTGAGATGAGCCCAGGGAAGTATGGCAGCTGGGCGCCTCAAATGGGGCAGAGGCAGCTATGGGAAAGCAGTGGGGCCCAGAGGGTTTACTTCCCTCCCGTTTCTCCAGGGGATCAAAGACACTTCCCAAAACCTGAGAAGATTCAGTTAGGGGAGCCACCACTAGCACACTTTGATCCGGAAGCAGAGGATGCCTTTTCTTTGCCCCAGACCTGGGGATTCATCACAGCCTGCGGGCCAGACTCTGGGTGGGCACCTGGGTAGGCCTGAACTCTGCCTGGAGCCTAACAACTGGGGCAGCCTTCATGAAGGCGGGTCTGGTGGGAGCCAGGCCTGAATGGGCCGAGAGGATGCTGGCAGAGTTGGCTGCAGAGGAGCTGCTGGGGAGGGCTGAGGTTTTAGGAACAGCTCTATTTTCTAATAAAGAGACATTTTGATACGCTTGTGTCTGACCCGGTTTGGGAGACACCGAGTCTCTCACAGGGTACCCTGGCTGTGCGGGCCTCAGGACTCAGATTTCTTGGGTGAGGCTGCGCCTGTTACTTTCCAGGAGGTCTGGACATAGGCAGGAGATTGCGTGGGCGCTGGGGGGGCCAGACTCCAGACCCTCTCCCATCACTCTGCTTCACCCCACCCACCCCCATCGGCACCCCACCCGCGCTCCTACGTGCGCCTCTGCCGGCGGCTCCTGACTCATCGGGGGCTCCGGGTCACATGCGCCCGCCCGGCCCTATCGGCGCCTCCTCTTGCCCGCCGCCT